GAGAGAGAGAGAAAGAGAGAGAAATCCTCCGTTTCCTCAAGTTGATCCACCCTGCTCTGTCTTCCTTCCGCCCTTTCTCCCTATGGAGAATGGGCCGCGTTTCGCACCCCCAATCTCGCCATCTTGATAGATGTTTCCGCGTGGCACCTGCGCCGGCATCCGAATTACTGCAGACCCTGTTTACCGTAATATTTAAACGACGTAGTCGCGTCACAATCCGATCTCTCCGCCTCCGCATCCTCTCCTCTTCTCTTCTCTTCTCTTCTCTCGTCTCCTCTTCTCCCGCGGATGAAATCGTGTCGCGCCGCAGTAATCTCTTTGGCTAACTTTAGCGGCAGCAAAGATCGAAATAATCCAGGTTACTGTCGTTCCACGGGGATGAATTGGACGGGTGTGCATACTCGACGTATCGAACGAACTGGTAGGGGTTTTTGGGATACAAGGAAAGGTGTGCGAGATCGCTCGCGGCCAGACATAAAATGCGAAACGAATTGCATTGGTACACGATGAAATATATAAAGAGTCTCCGTTACTTTCCTCTCCATCGATCTTTCTTCTTTTTCTTTTTTCCTCTTCCCGTGGCGCCGGGACGTCACAGAAACGTAGCTGCCTTGCGGTACGTATAAATAAAATCGTCGCGACATTCGCGAACGTCTCGTGTTGACTTACAGCAAGCGGGAATGAGAAGGACGCGAGAACGGAGGATCACGGAGGTAATTGAGCACAAATCAAGTTTAAGGAGGACCCACCGGTAGCGAGCCACGAAGTTGACGCCACGATGTTTCGCGTAGCCAACCGCGTGGTGCGTCATTTATATTTATTTCCATCGCGTTTTCTGGACACCCACGCAAAGCTGCGATAATTACGGAGTCGCGCGGCGCGAATTCCGTCGTTGCACGAATGGTGCTAATTACATCGTCGACGATTGGAAAAGCGGGGATAGACTTGGAACACTTGGCAAGAACTCGTTGTTTGCGATTCAGTATTTTTCAATATGTCAGAATACTTTGGATGTGTGTTTCTGCCAGGAAATAGATTCTCTTATAAATTTTACTGCGAAAGCAAGTTTAAATTTATTTTGAATTAATTGACAGTGTCAGCGAATTATATCTATGAATATACGATCACTTTTCTTTCTTTCTAAATTTATTTGAATTAAATTATCGATAATATATAATAATTTTGAGGAAGGGAGAGGTTTAGATCACATATCATTCTGTGTACATTTCAACTTCTAGCTATCCCCTTTCTATGGCTGTTCGAGCTTCATCCTTCTCCGTATATTGGCGTACAAACTTCTTTTATGAGAACCGTCTTGAGCGAGAGGGGAAAGAGAGGGAAAGTGGAAAAATAAACCATCTGCGTTTTTTGCATGGCGAGACGAAAATGCGCGTCGTGATGTACGATTTGCGTGGGTGGACAGGTATATAAGGGTGCACGACGTAGGCGGACCCTGGAGCTTATACGAGGCTTGCACTTGCGCGCGAAGTGCATACGAGCGAGCCCACGGCAATTTCTTCGCAGCGCGATAAGTTTCGTGATATATTTCGCTGAGGGAAACTCATGTTTCCGTAATGCAATTAGAGCGTGGCCGTTGGCCCCTGCACCTCGCAACACATTGGTTGGACGAGGGAAACATCTACGACGAGGACAACGACAACGACGACGATGACTCAGAAAGATGGCTGCTCTAATTAGAATACGCTGGACAAATGAAATAATTCGCAAATAAAATAGCCGAGAAACGTCCATCGAGAGGAAGATCGACCATTCCTCCGAGCGTTTTCTCTCTCGTTCTCTCTCGCTCTCTCGTTCTCGCTCCCTTCGTCCGCAATTTTCCGTCACATATATCAGCCTGGACAGTAGTTAGAATCGTTGCCAGCTTGTTACAGTGTGTTAGTCCTTTGCAGCTTCTGCACAAGCGTACGCGGTACACTCTATCTAACTTGCGTTTGAAAATCGCATGTATAAAATCAATCGTAAAGAAGAAACGATTCGCACGTGCGGTACATACAAGCGATAC